CTTGCAGACTCCCTGTAGATCTTTCTTTAGTGAAGGAACTCCACTCTCCCTTACCTCAGATTCAAATGGAGCCTCAGACATGCCCCAAATCATCAGGCCAAATCTGCCAGGAATCTTAAAGGAAAAAAAAAAAATTCCGGGAGTGAGTTATATATGGCGGTGAATTCATACACTTTGTGTAGCTCATTTCCTTCCATTATGCTAATTCTTCTAACTCAATAACTTAATTCCACCACCGCCCCTTCCCCCTGCCATACACACCCTTTTTTTTTTTTTTTTTTTAAATCCAGGGAAGAAGGTGATTGATGCTGAAGTCAGAAGCCATCCAATTTTGTGATGGTCTAAGTACTCCAGGCAATTGCCCTGCAGCTGCCAGTGGCTGTCTTAAGCCCACGCGAAAACAAGCACATTTTCAGCAGGCTCATTTAGAGCTGCAAGGAGGTTGGCGGCGTGTGCTACGTGTGCATTTAGGAGTTTGTTTGCAGCTGCGCGTCCTGGACAAATGCCAAGGTCAGGAAATCTATAGAGGGCTGTCCTAACACTTCCTCCTTGATCTGTATCAACCTGCCTGTGTGCCACACGGGGAAGTGCTGCTCCAGCCTATTGGCCTCGCTCCCTCACACAGTCTGTGCTGACTCGATGCTTATTTATTATGCAATTATTAGAGTTATTGGATGTGCTCATGGCTTATTACCCTCTGGACGCGTTTACAAGTAGGATAAGAAAAACCCACAGCAGCTTAATTTCTGTTGTGATCAAGAAATGTGTACTTACTGTGAAACATTGTCTTTGTTCCATAAAGCTTCTCAAACCTTAATTTTCCTTTGTAGGGGCCACCTAAAATGTATATATGTGTCTTTTATATGAAGTAGGTTAGAAGCAGGCATGACTGATCAAGAGACTGGGCGAAGAGCCAAGACCTGGAGCTGTTGGGGAGAGGGCCCCCGTGAGCTAAAAGCTGCAAGGTGATTTCTGGCTCTTGGTTATGTCAACATTTGCTTAACAGACTATGTTTCCATTCCTTTCTGGTCTTTCTCAGAAGCTTACTCTCTCTGTCTCCAGTTTGTGGACAAACGCATGTGCATGCAAGCAGATGCACACACACACACACACACACACACACACACACACACAGCTGCAATATTGCAGCCTTCTATCCACCACACAAACAAAGAAGCATTAACAATTTTCTAGGGATGGAGGCGATACTTTTCCAAGCATCTCAGCAGATCCTCCCTCATGGTTTCTTTCAGAGGACAGAAGGTTCTGAAGTTCCTGCACTGCTGTATACCCTGATGCAAAAGCTAGGCCCTGAGTACATGTGGACTGACTTCACCTGGGGATAGTCGTGTCCTCTGCACGTAAGATGACACAGTGTGCATAGAGCGCCAATAATATGCAGAACATTTCTCCTTCCTACTTAGGGAGAGAAGTGCTGGGATGAAAAGGATCTGGGAACCTAAGTTTTATTGTTCTGGCTAGCACTTTTCAGTGATTGTCAAGAAAAGAGAGGAACGTGAGAGTTCTGTCATTTCTTCTTTCTCATTTTCTCTCATTCCTGCCCTCGTCTTACCGCAACCCACCCCTATGGTTAGGGGGGACTCCGACCACCCTGACAGCACTACAGAGATCATTTGGAGCCCACATGATTTCCTTGCCTCCTGGCAGTTCTGATCCTATCTCTCAGCCAGGTATTTATCAGAATCTCTGCTCTGGCTTCTCGAGGTTCAGGGTGGGGGCAGGGCAGCAGTCAACTTTGACCTCTCCCATAGTAACACCTGTATGTTCCATCCACTTACCTTCTCAAGGCTTAAACGGAATGTCCCAAAGAACTTACATGCCCCCGGAGCCTAACCAACTCTGGTCAATCTCTGGAGAAGGGGCCTGATACTAGCCCGCGGCGGAGGCCATCTGAAATAGCCCATATGGGATTTTGCTAGATGGGCTGGGGCCCCCGGGGGCAGCACCCCGTTGGCTCCCAGCTCCCACTCTAGTCTGGGTTCTAGAACCTGCGAGGACGTCACCATTTGCTGAGCTTCGGAGTCTCCAGGAAAGCCAGAAGGCGGAACCCTTTCAGGGGTCCCGAAAAGCGTGAGCTCTTCGAAGCAGGTGTTTGGTCTCTTAGAACAAATGCTTGATTCACGTGGATCTGAGCTGTGGGCGCTGGCTGGTTCTGTCCAGGGTCACGCTCAACCTTAAAAGCAGCGCTGACGCTGAAGCGCTGGAGAGGAACATTCCGAGTCATTCGGACCCTAAAGGAGTGCTCACCGGTTGTCTGTTGATTGTTCCTACTGCGGCTCTGTTATCTGGCCAGCGAGCAGCTCCCTCACCCGCAAGCTGCTCCCTCCACATGATTTGCCAGCCACCACAGGGCAGCGACTGAACAAAATGCTCTTCTAGGGGATGCCCTGTTCCACTCCATTCTTATCTCAGCATTCCTGTCCTTTAGATGCGCTGCTGCAATTCTCACTCCCCGCTGCCTAGGTACGTAGCGTCCATTGTGTATTTCCTGATGTTGCGCTTTGGTTTGTCTCTTGGAAACACTGTTATTGCACCCCGGGGACGCAGCTTCCAAACTGTTGCATTCTGCCTTCTCCTTCCTCAGCTGTTCGAATCCCATGACAAGGGTGACTGATTGGCAGCACCATAACCAGCAGTCACTTCCCCGCCCCCCCCCCCCCCCCCCCCAAGGCTTCCCAGAGGAAAAGCTGTGCCGTTGAAATGCAAATGGCTGATCAAAAGCGGTAAATCCCTTCCAAGAACAAGGTCTGTCTTTGCCACTTTGGGCTTTGCCAAATATTTCAAACAGCCTTTCGCATCTGGGCAAGGGGGAATGTTGGTATGTATCATCAGGCTGAGGCAATGTTCTTAAACTGTGGTCATGATCCACTAGGGGCTTCTGAAATCAGTTTAGTAGGTTACAACTGCGTTAGAAAATAGAATCGAACCAAAGAGAATAGGGTAGATGTACAGGAGTACACAGCCCGTAACAAAGGTTGGTTTCTTTGTGAAATTTTCATTTTGGTATAAACACACGCACATAGATACATAAACGTGTGTACTGATGTGGGGGCACGAATGTATTTCTGTTTATTTTTTAACCTTTATTTTAACTGTGACGTATTATTAACCCCCCAGCAGCATATATACAATTTCTATTTTAAAGACTCATTAGACCAACTCCTAAGTTTCCCCCACTATGACTGAGAACGAGGACAGAGCTGCGACCTTAGAAACCGTCTGTCTGGGGGCACCTGGGCGGCTCAGTCGGTTAAGCGTCCAACTTGGCTCACGTCGTGATCTTGCGGTCTGTGAGTTCAAGCCCCGTGTTGGGCTCTGTGCTGACAGCTCAGAGCTTGGAGCCTGTTTCAGATTCTGTCTCCCTCTCTCTCTCTGCCCCTCCCCCGCTCGTGCTCTGTCTCTCTTGCTCTCAAAAATAAATAAAACATAAAAAATTTAAAAAGAAACCGTCTGTCTGACCCTCCTCACCTCATTCCCCTTCCCGGCCCCCAGAAGCAGCCGCACTCCCGACTTTTACAGTAATCATCCCCTGGCTTTGGTCACAGTTTTGCCCCCCACATCTACATCAGGAAGAACACTGAGTTTGGTCTGCCTTTGAGCTCTTCCTACGAGTTCTCCTGGGATTTGCTTCTTCCCCTCAAGGCTGTGTTCCTGACATTTTTCTCTCGTCGGCACGTTCACCTGTAGCTCAAGCATTTCATTGGCGTGTAGCCTTCTTCGTAGGATTGCACCATGATACCGGCACCATCCTGGGGCTGGTGGACACGAGAGTCATTCCAGATTGGGTGTTTACAAGCAGTGCTGCTCCGGAACCTTCTCCCTCATTTCCCTGGCATGCCTACAGAGGGGTTTCTCTGGCACACAGGAGAGGGCTGTTGGATCTGTGATTCCTGCATGTTCTACGTGACGGGGTGCAGCTCGGTGCTTGCACCCATTCTCCACCACCAGCCCACACGTGGTTTTGTTCAGATGTATTTCTGACTGTGGTCTGTAACCAAAAAAGTTGGAAGACATGTCTAAAGGCTCCTAAGGTAAGAACGGTACTTCTTTAAAACTAAGAATTTTTTCATTGCCGCGTGTGTGTGTGTGTGTGTGTGTGTGTGTGTGTGTAGGTGAGCCTGGAGGAAATCAGAGCAGGAGAAAGGATGAAAGGACACTTACGTTGTGAGCACTTGTTACCCACCATGCACCGAGCCCAGCGCTTTACCAATTTGCACGTATTTTCTCCTAAATCTTCACATCAGCCTTGTGAGACGTGGTTAAATCCCACTCGGTAGAAAAGAGGTTCAAAGAAAGTAAGGAACGCACCCAGAGCCATATGGCAAGAAATATGCTGGAACTGGAATTTGCACCCAGGCCTATCGGTCTCCAAAGCCACCTGACCACTTTTCCCACCTCGGGTGCTCTTCCCAAGGCCCCTGCCTCTGCAGGTTGTACTTCCCTGCCTCACTGGCTCATGACCTTGGCCCAGGATTGTCTCCAAATCACTGTGAGAGAGGCGCAGTTCATCCCAGGACTTCAGATCTTCCACAGAGTGTCCTTGGCCCCCTGCCCAGCTCACACCTGCCCTCCAGATGCCAGGACCTGAACAGCTCACCATTCCGCCCGATGCTTAGACGGCTCTTGCCAGTCACTGGCTCCTTGGTCTCTCACTGTCTCTCTCTGTCTCTAGATGGTGCCCTCTCGCTGGAGGACCGGCTCGACCTTTTCTCTCTGAAAGTTTTCATGTGTCTGCTCCCACCCAGGGAGGTGAGTTTTAGCTCCCCCTCAAACTGCTCCTAATGGCGAAGCCTCCATCACTTGAACGTTTGCAAGGAAGAACTCCTGTTCTGACCTTGACCACAGATTGCCAGGGCGGCACGGGGCGGAGTTTTCGTTTGGCAAAATGGAGTGTCTGAATGGCTGCCCCAGCAGGAGTTCTTCCGGACTCTATCTTAAACGGCTCCCCCAAACTTTTCTCACGAGACCTAAGGGCACTACCTGTAGCCAAGGAGCTATTCCCCTTCATTCAAAACAAAATCAAGGATGGAAGGGAGGGGAGAGGAAGGATGTTCGTTTGTTCATTCACTGGACATTCACCGGGCACTTTTGGGGATTGGGGGAGGTCACTGCTGTAAGACACCCCAGCCAGTCCTCACAGAGACAAATACGAAAGCACACCCATGCATTCTGTTTTTGATACGCTTGTGTTGATACAGGTGGAGGCTTTCTTTTGGGTATGACACGTTCTTCTGACCATGAAAAGGGCAATCACGGAGGAGATGTTTCATTATCAAGGTATTCTTAGGATGTTTTTAGACTGTTCTCACAGCTCTAGCAGTTCACGCAACAATTAATATATTCAGGCAGATTAGTCACTTACCAGCAAAACCCTCGATTTCTATAGCACTGCTGGAGGCAGAAAACTCACTGTGTTTAACGGACTTAATTAGTAGCTCGGAGTTACAACTGAGATCATTTGGAAGTCCCACGGACAAGAGAAAGTGGCAGGAAGGACTGATCACCAAAGACTGAGAAAATGTGTTTTCTAGGCATATTACACAGAAGGGTTTCCACTGGCTCAAATGGGGCTCACTTTCAAAAGACAGGCCCTACTGATTAAGGACTTCTGTTCAGTGAGCTACTCTGGAGAGTCAACATTGTCCCACGTTCAGCCCCAGTCCATTCTACCCTGAGTTATATACCGCATACGTGTGAGATAGGTAGGTAGGTAGGTAGGTAGGTAGATAGATCGAGACAGACAGGCATAAAGAGATTGGATTTAAGGAGTTGGTTTATGGGATTGTAGGGGCTGGTAAGTCCAAAATTTGCAGCACAGGATGGAAGGCTGGAAACTGAGGCAGGATTGCTATGTTGTAGTCTGGAGGCAAAATTCCATCTTCTTCGAGAATCCTCGATATTTCCTCTTAAGGCCTTCAACTGACTGGGGGAGAATGACGTGGACTGAGTTGTGTCCTCCCAGAATGCTTCTGTTTAGGGTCTAACTGTATTTGGAAATAGGATCTCTCAAGACGTCATTCAGATTAGATGAGGTCACAGGGTTGGGGCCCTCATCCAACCGGACTGGCATCCTTATTGGAAAAGGAAGGAACACCAGGGAGGGATGCGCAGAGAAAAGGCCATGTGAGGACTCAGGAAGAGGGAGGCCATCTGCGAGCCAAGGAGAGAGGCCTCAGGAGGAGCCAAACCTATTGACACCTTGATCTTGGGTTTCGAGCCTTGAGAAATAAATTTCTGCTGCTGAAGCTCCCCGGTCTGTGGTCTTTTACTGTGACAGCCTGAGCACAACAGTTCAGAGGCCCACCCGTATTATTGATTGCAATCTCCTTGATGTACAGTCAGCTGAGGGGTGCCTGGCCGGCTCAGTCGGTAGAGCATATGACTCTTGATCTCGGGGTTGTGAGTTCGAGCCCCACATGTGGCATGGAGTTTACTTAAAATGAAAATCTTAGGGGCACCAGGGTGGCTCAGTTGGTTAAGCGCCTGACTTCGGCTCTAGTTGCGATCTCACAGTTTGTGGGTTTGGGCCCTGCATCGGGCTCTGTGCTGAAGGCTCAGAGCCTGGAGCCTGCTTCGGATTCTGTGTCTCCTCTTTCTCTCTGCTCCTCCCCTGCTCACGTTCTGTCTCTCTCTCTTGCTCTCTCATTCCCTCTCTCAAAAACAAAATTAAAAACAAAAAAAGAAAAATTTAAAATAAGTAATTAAAAATAACGGGGCGCCTGCGTGGCTCAGTGTGTTAAGCATCTGACTTTAGGCTCAGATCATGATCTCATGGTTCATGAGTTCGAGAGCCCCGCATCAGGCTCTCTGCCGTGAGCGTAGAGCCTGCTTTGGATCCTCTGCCCCCTCTCTCTGCCCTTCCCCCACTCTCTCTCTCTCTCTCTCAAAAATAGATACACATTAAATAAATAAATAAGTAAATAGAAAAAAACAGCCGATTGCCGGCATTAATCATATTAAATTTACCTTCACAGCAACTTCGAGACTAGTGATTGACCAAACACCTGGGCACCTAGGCCCCCACATCACACACATGGAACTTCAGCAGCAACATTGGATGAGTTTCACACCCAGATGAAGTCTGTTGCTAGGCTCCCTTGACTTCAGGTCTGATTTTGCCACCAAATGAGTTTTGGGAGCTTGGGGGCCTGGGGGGAAGGGGTGGAAAGGACCAAAGGTTAATTTCACTTACTTTACGGTTTCCATTCTGATCAGGCCTGCTTGCCAAAGTGCAAAGGGCTGCTATCTATGCGTAAGAGCGATAATAATGGCAGTCAGTTATTAAATGTGTATCATGCTGCCAGGTGTTAAATAACTTTATTCTCCTGTGTCTTTCACGGCAGCCCTGTGAAGCACGTCTTATTTTTCCTATTTTCTAGAAGAGGAAAGTAAACCCAGAGAACGGAAGGACTTTGCTCCAACTCACACAGCAAAAAAGAGGCCGAGCTTGTGACCAGCTCGCTATGCTGCCTCCTTCTCCGGAGGGATGTGTGCAGAAGGGAGAAAGTGTAACCGCTCAGAAAACATTGGGGCGCCTGGGTGGCTCAGTCGGTTGAGCGTCCGACTTGGGCTCAGGTCACGATCTCGCGGTCCGTGAGTTCGAGCCCCGCGTCGGGCTCTGGGCTGACAGCTCAGAGCCTGGAGCCTGTTTCAGATTCTGTGTCTCCCTCTCTCTCTGCCCCTCCCCCCCCCCCGTGACCCCGCTCATGCTCTGCCTTTCTCTCTGTCAAAAATAAATAAACATTAAAAAAAAATTAAAAAAAAAAAAAGAAAACAGAGAAAGTCCACACCCTGAAGCCAATTCACCGCCAGACCACTGACATCCTTCTGAAGTCCTTCCATGTGAGTCTGCCCCCTAGACTGTGGCTGGAGGAACCTCCTGAAGATCTGGCATGGGCACTCCCTTTCTCATACATCCTCAGTGGCTCCCCATTAATTAATTACTCAACACAAGCAGGAAGCCTCACCCTAAACTCAAGACCCCCCCCCCCCCCCCCACTTGGCCTTCATGGGGTTCTTGCTTTTTTTTTTTTTTTAGCAACACTGCATCTCCTTGCTGCTTTCTGCCCCATACCGTCCTCCCTAAACTGAACACCCCCTCCTCCCAGGTTGCAGAATGGACCTTCTTGTCTGATGGAAGGAGGGAGCGCTCTGGAGTCCTCCCGGTCCCAAAGTCTGCCATGCGGAATCACCACTTTGGTAAGTTGCTCGCTCACTCTGAGCCATTTTCTACTTGTGGGTACCTTCTGCCCGAGGCTGATGTGAAAACTCACAGGTAAGGTACAAGGACAACGCGTCACGCATAGGAGTGCTCTTTCCTCCCCCCTTCCAGGGAGCCGCTGAGCCAGGGGGCAGGAACAGCCTCACCCTTGCTCACAGGGTCAGTGTTCACCGTCCCTTTCTGCGCCCATGAGTGGCCTCAAACATCTGGCCTCTTTGGCTCCCAGAACCCCTTTGGTAACTGCCAGCGCCTGTCCGCACGCCTTGGGTCAGAGCCGCTCTGGAAAGCTCTTCCCCTCTCAGCTCCCGAGTCTGTGATTGACATGCTTGTTTCTGGGGGTGGAGGTGTCAGTGAAATTCCACAGGCTTGAAAAACATTGAGCAGCGTCTCACTGAAATTGCTTTTTCCACCCCGCCCCCCCCCCCCCTTCATTTTTAATTTGAAGAAAACAAAAGCCCAAACGCTGCAGCGGAAGATTCATTAAATAATTTACTGCACCTGCCATTTTAAGGGGTAATTTAATACAGCCACCCTTCGAGCCACCTTTATGACAGAAATTTTCCGCCTCCTTTGGGAAGGTGGCTGTGTTCCCTGGAGTGGATGCCTGGGTAGCAGGAGAAGCCAGGAGCCCTCGAATGTTTTCCAGCCCCGACAGAAGCCAACCCCATCAGACACACGGCTGGGTAATGACTGCAATTTCACGCAGATTAAATTTACCTTTGGGGGCGAAATATGGGCACAGAAAGGAAACCAAACCCCGTGTTTTCAAGGTAGCCTAAGATCCAAGTTCAAAGGGATCAGAAAAGAGGTTTGTGATTTGGGGGATTTAATAACTTTTCATTCTTTCACTGGCTTTTCCAAGTTTACAGTGCCTTTTTCTTTGTGAATCCATCTGCATTAAGGATACCACTGCTGTCATTAACCACAAAAAAAAAACAAAAAACAACCCTAAATGGATTTTTTTTCCCCCTTAGCTTAATGCGTTAATTGCGTTACTTAAAAAAAAAAACAAAAAACCAAGTCTGGAATAAAACGCTCAGGAAGTCACTTGTGACACATCTTTTTAAAATTATGGTTAAAAATACACATGACATGAAATTTGCCAGCTTCATCATTTTTAAGCATACAGTCCAGTGGCCTCTGGTGCATTCACGTTGTTGTGTTACTGGGGACACTTGCACTTCCTCCTACCCCCACCCCCAGCACCCCAGACTCACTAGAAAGGGTCATAGCAAGATTTTGTTCAGTGATATATATATATATTTTTAAGTTCATTTCTTTCTGAGAGCGAGCACACGCACGTGTCTGCATGCGAGAGGAGGTGACGGGCAGAGAGAGGGAGAGAGAGAATCCCAAGCAGGTTCCATGCGGTCAGCGCAAGCCTGAGGTGGGGGGGGGGGGGCGCGAGGGGCTCAATCTCACAAACCGCGAGACCACGACCTGAGCCAAAATCAAGTGTCGGACACTCAAGCAACAGGGCCACCCCGGTGCCCCTGTTGAGTGTTATTTCTGCCTGTCCCTTTCCAGCTTTCTTGGGATGTTGTGCCTTTATCCTAGGAGAGTCCCTCCTCCAACTGAAAAGTAACTACCGTCGAACTCGTCTATCTTAGCCAAGTACACACAGAACTAGAGGGACATATTCTTCTCTAATTTAGAGTCACTCTTCTTCGCACAAAGACTAAGGAAAAGTTGTAAGAGGAGAAGCAGCCGTTTGTTGGGTAGCTCTGTGCTCCTTTTGTGTTAAGCCGTTTACAGATGTCTCCCTATTCGCTGTTTACAATAGTGTCCACCACCACGGGCGCAGAAGTTGTGGCCCAGAGGGGTGAGCGAACAAGGTCCCGCGGCTAGGACTGAACTCCATGGCCAAATGCATCCGAAATCCGATATGGCAGATCAGCCAAGAGAGAAAGAACCTGGAAAGGCAGGAAGATTTCTGGGAGGGAGACGGGGAGGGTAAGCGAGTCAGGAAAAGAAAGACCGTGCTGGCCTCCCTGGCCGGGAAGAACATCATCGACTTGGGCTCTTAACAGTACTTGCAGAGGCTATAGCTGGCTGGGCTTCACTCTTGTGGAGAGACCTCCCCCAGAGGGCTTCCAGACAGCGCCCTCCCCGCTTTGGGGGTCTGATTACAGACATGACAGATTACTTTGATCACTTGCCTTCTCCTGCTCAGAGGGTCACTCCGAGCTGCAGGCAGAGTTTCTGACTCTGCCTCAAATTAAAACGCCAACTCGATGTCACGATAGATTTTCTTAACCACCCGTCTCTGCGTGTTGGAATGTCTCTGTCTGGTTGAAAGTGCCCCCTGGAGAGTTACCATGGCAACCCTTGTCTGCAGCATGGCAGGATCAGATCTCTAAAAGAGACTTCCAAATTGGTGTGGCCACTTTCAGCCACAGGCCCACACAGGGTTTTGCTTTGGGTACCCAGCTGATGACTCCGGCCTAGGGGGCGAAAGTCCGGGAGAAAAACTCAGTGTGGTACAAAACGCTGCCCCCTCCTTCTCCCGGAGCCTCAGGAGTGGGTTTGCATCGTCTCTATCAGGCTGTACTTATTTCCCTCTGTGCTTCCTCCATCTTCCAGGCTCAAGGTCAAACCCTTAGAGGTAGATTTATTTCTTACAGAAAAAGACTGACATGCAAGTTAGGGAGGAGGCAGCTGGCTCAATAAAGGGGGATGAAAGAAGATAGAAACCTCTGAAGGTTTGAAAACTGGAATTGGGTTTTGATAAAAGATTGAGATAATTTTCAAGAGACTCAGTGACTTGCTCTTTCTTTCTTCCTTCCTCCTTCCCTCCCTCCCTCCCTTTCTTTCTTTCTTTCTTTCTTTCTTTCTTTCTTTCTTTCTTTCTTTCTTTCTTTCCTTTTTCTTTCTTCTCTTTCTTTCCTTCCTTCTTTCTTTCTTCCTTCTTTTTCTTTCCTTCCTTCCTTCTTTCTTTCTTTCCTTCCCTCTTTCTTTTTCTTCTCTTTCCTTCCTTCCTTCTTCCTTTCCTTCCTTTTTTCTTGCTTTCTTTCCTTTTTTCTTCTCTTTCCTTCCTTCCTTCTTTCTTTTTCTTTCTTTCCTTTTTTCTTTTTTCTTTCCTTCCTTCTTTCTTCCTTCTTTTTTCTTTCTTTTTCTTCCTTTCTTTCTTTCTTCTCCTTCCTTCCTTCCTTCTTTCCTTCCTTCCTTCTTTCTTTTTTTCTTTCTTTCCTTTTTTCTTTCTCTTTATTTCCTTCCTTCCTTCCTTCTTCTTTCTTTCCTTCCTTCTTTCTTTTTTTCTTTCTTTTTCTTTCTTTCGTTCTTCTCTTTCCTTCTTTCTTTCTCTCTCTCTCTCTCTCTCTCTCTCTCTCTCTCTCTTTCTTTTTCTTTCTAGAAATGGAATAGGAATGCACACAGCCAGAAGATTTGGAATGTATAATTTGTGACAAGCAAGTTCAAAGTTATGCAGACTCCTATGTCAGTATTTAATTAGTGCTGTGATCCACCTAAAGATGGGGAACAACATACCTTAGCACTTAAAAGCTGTGCAAGCTTGATTATGTGAGTGGGTAGAGGAGATCCACGAATGTTGCAGAAGCACCAGCCATTTCCAGATCTTTCTGGTTGTAAAATATGGTCACATTATTATTTTCAGTGGCTGTAATCACCCAGGAGGACTCAGAAGAGTCCATTCATCCCTTTCTTCCATTCCTATCTGCCCGATCTCTCCTGACATCACAGTCTGACCCCTGACCAGGAACAGCATGGATTCCTGCAGTAAGAGACTCTGAAGCACATAGCCAAAGAGCCCCAGACTCGTAGAAAATCCAGAAGAAGGAAACATTCACTTTTATCATGGGTCAGTGTATTAGTTTCCTAGGGAGCTCTAACAGAAGACCACAAACCGGATGTATTAAATGAACAGGAATTTATTCTCTCATAGTTCACAAGACCAGAAGTCCAAACTTGGGGTGTTGGCAGAACTGGTTCCTTGGGGGAAATCCTCAGAGAATCCTGCGTGTGCATTTATTGTAGTTTCTGATGACTACTGACAATCCTTAGCGTTCCCGGGCACACGCGTGCATGCATCGCTCCGGTCTCTGTCTCTGTCTTCACACGGCCGTCTCCATGTGTGTGTCTGTGACTCTTCTCTTCTTGTAAGGAGCCAGTCATGAGGGCCCTACCCTGATCCAGGGTGACCTCAGCGTAACTTGATTTCATTTGCAAGGATCCTATTTCCAAAAAAGGTCTTGTGCAGAGATGGGGGAGCAGAGATCAGAACTTCA